GGCGGCGGCGGCGGCGACGGACCCACGTCCGCGGCGCCCCGGAGCTTCCCGCCTCCCACCCCACCCCCCAGAGGCTTTCTGTGACAGCAGCAGCCGCGTGGCCGCCGCCCCCGCCGCCACCAAAGCTGGGGCCCCTCAATACCTGCGACCGGGGCCGCCCGCGGCGGCTCCTGCACCTTCTGCAAACCAGGAAGTCGACGGGAGGGGGAAGGGGCGCGCGGGGACGCGCCGGCGGCGTCACCTGGGCCGGAGCCTGCGGAGGAGACGGGGACGGGGCTGCCAGAGGATGGCGGGGCGGGGGGAAGGCGATGGCCTGCCCGGGTGGCCCGCGTACCCCTGGCCACCAAGCCAGAAGGGCGAGGTGCTCCTTGTGTCCTCAGCACCGGACCTTTCTGGAGCCAGTCCAGGCTCCGGGTTGCCAGGGCTACAACCCCCCCGAACAGGGAAGAAGCTGAAAAAGTACCTCGACTTGCGGTATTTTCCACTGCACGTGCACCCGGAATTGGGTTCGTTGCATTTCAGACTGCAAACTCAGAGCTCAAGTGGATGCTCCCGGCCCCTGCCTCACTCCAGCTGTGGGCTGATGACCGCTCTCTGGAATCCAGAGCGGCCCCCCTTCTGATGCAGGAATGTTCAGACATGTGCACCTGCTGAATAGCCCTGTCAAGTAGCAAGATGATAGTGCTCCACTTGCCAGCACATATGGGAGACAGACATTCCTACAGCACTGACTGCAGCATAAACAAGGACTGATTTTTACACACACGCATGCACGTAGTGGCTGGCTTCAGAGACTAGCAGTCCAGGGGAGCTCAGGGAGGGCACCGCTGATGGATGGGATGGGAGGGGCTAATTTGCAAAGCACTAAAGCACGTGTTAAGCAGGTTATGTGCATTGTCTCACTTAGCACTTGCAATAGCTATGCGATCAGCATTTTACAGATGAAGAAACTGAGGCCACGCTAAACCAGTGAGTAATGGCAAAACTCGGATTCAGACCAGAGCTCTCTGATGCTGATTATCAGACTTCATACTGCCTCCCCCCTCCCCAGCTGCCTCATGTTTGGGATCTACTGAGAAGAGATGTAAAAAACAGTCTTATGATGGACATTCAAAAGATTATCCAGAGTTGGGCTGTTACACAGAGATGTTTCTGGGGAAGGCCTTCTCCCAACTAACATTGTCACCATTGACGCATAGCCACAGTGTTTTTTATCCAAATGGGGTTTGCTTCAGACTTTATTCATGCAGAAGGTAAGATGAGAGGAAGTCAAATGTGGTATGAATGTAGTGAGTCATGAGACGTAAAAGTCAGACAAGGAGTCTTGGGGATTAAATAAATAAATAAAGAATTTAGAGCCAGAGAACCTAAAATTAAACTCAATTACAAGGAACTTAAACTTTCTTGCCAAAGTTGGATGTTACTTGATCAATAAAATGAGATATATTGCATAAGCCACAGATCTATTAGTCAAAAATTAGGACATAACTGGGAAACAAACAAACAAAAATTGTATTTTAGCATAACATGCCATAGCTTGACTTGGGGTGAAAAAAATAACTGGGAAACAAAAAAAAAAAAATTGTATTTTAGCATAACATGCCATAGCTTGACTTGGGGTGAGACACTTCAGATTCTAGGTTCCTACATTTGTAAAATGGTAATTATTGTATATTGCATGAGCAGTGTGATGTTCAAGTAAAGAAGTGCTACATATTTGTGTTATCTTTTGAGAAATTATTCTGTGAATTTCAGTTTCACAATTAGGCAAACTACCCCACATACCTTTTTTTCCCCCAAGTAAAGCTGTTTCTACATAAGAAGTTACCAAAGTCCAAAGCCTTGAAAAAACTTCCGTAAACTAAAAACCACTTTTCTCCAAGTATTACTGAATTTCTCAAACTTCTTTCTCATTATAATTCTTCTCTAAAGAAAGGAACCCTTCCTGGGGTGCCTCCATCAGGAGTTTTTAGTTTGGGGTGAGGAAATAGTAATACAGTTGTTTTCCCCATCCATTGTTGGGATTTATTAAAGTAACAGCCATAACCCTGCATAATATAAAATTGTTATTTATCCAACTTACATTAAGTATATGGAGGGGAAATTCATGCACACTCCAAAGCAAAAATTTTTAAGCCAGCTTTTAGGCTGACCATAATGAAGAGATTTGTCTATTCTGATATCACTGAGGTAAAAGGGATAGGAACACAGGTGGACATGATTTGCATGCATGATTTGTTAAAAATTACTGGAAAAAGAATTCAGTATACACTTATATTGGTAATATGCTTGTTGAAACCAGTGGTATAATTTTAGTAACACTCATTTCATACAGAACTTCCCATATGACTGATAGAGAAGCGTACAAAGGTAAAACCTTCCAATTGGTATTAGATCTTCCCGAGATCATATTTTAGAGTAAACTTCCTACTTGACAATTGATATTAACATTTTTCTGGACTGAAGTTGTCAAAGAACATGTTCTAAAGGCTACTAGTCTTTTCAACTGTTTTCAGATTTATTTTAGATTTATTTTAAATGTTTCACGTGGGTTTGTAAAGAATATACATTCTGCAGTTCTTGGAACTGCAGTATTCTAAAAATATGACCTTGATCAAGTATAATGATTGTGTTGTTGACATATTCTACTCCTGAACTTACATTTGCCACACAATTCAATTAATGAGAGAGGTGACTTAAAATATTCTAATGTGATGGTGGATTTGTCTATTTAAACTATATAGCTCTTTCAATTTTTGCTTTGTATAGTGTGGGGCTGTTATAATATACATACCAGTTTATAGTTTTTAAATCTACCTGGTAAATTGGACCATTTGTCATTATGTTGTTACTTTCTTTACCTCTAATGCTTTATAGTAATGCTTTCACCTTAGATCACAGTTTTCTTCTGAATAGTATTTGCCTCATATTAGTATATCTCTTTTCATCTTTTTACATTCAAAATTTCTAAATCACTTTAGAATTATCTAACAAACTTTAATTTTGATTTTTAATACAGTCTGATCATCTTTGGCTTTTATGTCAAGCTTTTAGATCATTTGCAGGTATTAAAATTGCTGATAACTTTGAATTTATTCCTGCCGTCTAATTTTGTGCTTCCCATTTGTTTCTCCTGATTTTTTCCTTTCTCCTTTGCCTTCTTTAGGATTGACTTTATTTTATACTTCCATTTCTGCCTTCCCACCCCCCACTCACCTTTAGTTTGGAGGTTGTGTACTCTGTTTCTATTCTATTAAATAGTAGTTATCCTAGAAATTTTAACAGGCAAATTTTAACTGATTAAACACAGAGTTCATCCACCTTCATCCTCCATCTCCCAAACGACACAAAGACCTTTAAAACTACAGCACATTACACATGTTGTTTTAGTCAATGTTTGTTTAGATTTACCCAGAAGTTATTTTTTAACTTTACCCAAAACTTATTTTGCTCTTCTTATTTTCATTTCTTCTTTCTTATTTTCATCTTAGATCTGCCATCTAGGACCACTTTTCTTCCACCTAAAATATATGCTGGAGGTGCTGGCACATTCACTCACTTTTTGTTTGAGTGGGAATGTATTTGTTTCACCCTCATTGTTGAAAAATATTTTCACTGATAAAGAATTCTAAGTATACAATTATTTCTTTCCATATATTGTCAATATCATTACACTGTCTTCTAGGTTCCCTAGTTACAATTTGAATTTTGAAAGTAATCTTGAAATGTAATCTGTCTTTTCTCTCTGGATACATTTAAGATTTCTCTTTTTGTCTTTAGTTTTCTATAGTTTTACTATGAAGTACCTAGGTATAGATTATTTTAAATCCCTCTTTATTGTTTTCTTTGATTTTCCTGAGTCTGAATTGGTGACTTCATCAGTTCTGGAAATTCTGAACTCCATTCTTTCTTTATTTTCTTTCTAGAACTCTGCTTATACACATATTCTCATATTACCCTCTATGTCTTTTAACATCTCTTTTTATCTCTTTGGGCTGAATTCTGAATAATTTCACAAATAGGTTCCTGCTCACTAATTCTTTCTCCAGCTTTGTCTCATCTTGTGTTAAAGTTGTCCATTTAGTTTTTAATTTATATTATCTTTATTTCTAAAGTTCTTTTTGATTATTTTTAAAACCTGCTTTCTCTTAACTCATATTTTAAGCTCATTGTTGAAAAA